AATTTAATATCTGATTCTTAATTAAGTTTAACAATTAATTAAGCTTTGGACATTTAATTTGTGATCATAAATGTTGAAACAGTTAAGAATTTGTATAGATGGGTATAATTAATTACAACACTAAAGTTAGTACATAATATTATACACCTTCATAAGTAAAATAAGAATGTTAGTTTTCAGAATTCAGAGTACCTATTGTAGGAACTTTTCATAGAATGTTATCATTGTTATCAATCATAACCAGCCTAATTGTTTTATAATGCAATGATAACTGGTATAATCGTATTATAATTGAAATTGAAATGTAATCTCAAAAATAACATTTTCAACCAGCTGGGGAGGCCCTAGACATAGAAAATCACTGAAGTGATTACCGATTTCAGAGATAAATGAGATAATATTGTTGAAATTATAATATAAAACGCACCTATAGATCAGTCAAAACTCATAAAAATTACCCAATGAGGCAAAGAAAAAACAATTCATTGATTAAAATAAGCACATTTATTATTAAAATGAATTTGTACATTTATTATTACAATTAATAATTTTAATTAGTTACATCATTTATAAATTTACTTTGATTATTGGGTAGTCTCTACTCTTTGTTCTTCTTTTTGTCAAATTGCAACTTCAACATATATTGAGTATTCAGAATAGGAAGCTTTAWATATTCATAAAAAAATATCTACAGTTCAGCGGATTAATGTTCCTTGAATAGCCTTTCCAATTTCTGATTATCTAAAAACATAATTTAAAAAATAGCGGTATAATGTTTCSATGAATTATTGCTTATTCCATGAAACTGGAATCAATATGGCGCCGTCCGTAGGGTRGACATRTTAAGATTCTGTGGCGACCACAACAATATTATCAATGTAACCGCGGTACCGGCTCGTCAGMCGCTGCCAGCCGTGCCCCTCTCGTTGTCAGCATTGCACACTGCGCGCGCTCTYACTCTTTTTTTACGGACGTACGTCGTCGTTTTTAACCTCGTGTTTCTTTTTTTTACTCGTTTATGAAATGCCGAAAAGTCGCAAAATAACCTGTAAAATATAACGCATTGTTTTAAACTTTTTCTAACGTTAATT